AAACTTAAAATTAAGGGCATAAGGATAGCTTTTAAAGAGTCAACATCTTGAATCTTGAAATATTAGGAATTAACCTAAAACATTACATGTACATCCATGGTATTATTGATATATCCCCTTTCTTAAATATATATAGTTATTTATATCAATTAATATTGTTACAAAGTCATTCTATAGTAATTCTTATAGTTAACAATAAAAGTACTAACAAGGAAAAATTGATTTCATTAGAAAGTTTTATAATAGGAAGCAAGACAATAATGACAATTTCTAAAAAGATAATAAACAGAATTGTAATATTTATAAATTTTAAAGAGTAAGGTATTCGGGGTATACCAAAGGCGTCAATACCGCATTCAAATGAGGATATAGGGAGTTAATTATTACTTTATAAGAGTAACAATATAAATTAAATAACAGGTATGAGATTGATAAGAGAAATTAAAAAGTAGAATGAAGCATATGTTTACTATTTTAATTTTTTTCTAATTGGAAATTAGATATACTTTGGCTTATAGTAAAATTAGCAGAAAAAACTTTTAATTGAGGGTTAATCCACTCATCAGTATAGACTTAGGTCAAATCAAATTACAAATAAAATGTCAGTTTCAGGCTACCAACTCAAAATGAAGTATATCTAGGATGGAAAATAATCCAAATATAAATCTTGGGGTTACAGACAATAATAATATGGACCCGACAATAATATGAAATCCGTTAAATCCTTATGCTACAAAAAAGAGTTTCCCGACAAGAGTCATTAATTGAGAAGAAGGACTGGAAATATTCTTCATTTTGGAGATATATATATAAGTTACATGCCTATAATTACGGCGATGGCAGTAAGGTAAATAACTAGTGTTGTTAAACGGCTCTATTTGAGCCGATTTTTAAAAATGGATAATTTAATATTTTAGCCAGAAAAATATTGTATAAGCCTCGAGATTTCATTATTAGATATTTAAATTTTTGTGGCACCTATAGGCAAATTCTTACGGCTTGTATAATATTTTTCTGTATAAAATATTAAGTTATCCGTTTTTGAACAGCTCAAAATGAGCTGTTTAACAACACTATAAAAAACAGAGGTTATGCTCAAGTAATAGAAATTCCTCTCATCGATAAAATAATAGTATCTAAAAGAGAGTGGCGTAGGTATGGGGGAGGCGGGTAAAAAAATGGGATAGATACAACCCCTAAAGGTGGTCAATTATTACCAATTTTAGAGTTGAGGGAGAGTCTAAAGTGAAATAAGCTTAAAAGAATGGCATAAAAAATAATATTTCCGAAAAATAAATAAAATAAAAAAGAATGCTCATCTCGGAGATTGTAAATAGTATTTCTCCAGACATAGATTCGCGTTTTAAGTCCTTACCTCATATATAAAAAGCTTTTATTACAGTAATGGTTGCAGACAAAAGATAAGATGGCTAAATGTCTTTCACATAACACCTAATAAAGCTGCTATAGCCCCTAAAACTGATAGGGATCCTAACAGAGGCCAAAATGATGGGTTTATAATGTTTAGAGGATTTTTATCATGACACAATATCCGTAGTTAGAAGATTCTCTAATATATAAAGAGATAAGAGACATATAAACATAAGCTTGAATATAGGATACTATTAATTCTAATAGGTTTAATAAAACTCTACGAATAAGTATTATAAAAGGTTTTATATAAAATATTTTTATAAATAAATGTATAAAAATATACCCTCTTATAATATTAGCTGACAATATGTTAAAGGTCGAATTAGTAAGGAGATAACTTCGATTAAGTATAAAAATGGGAATAGAAGTGCAGGGGATCCTAAAGGGAATAAAGATTATAGAGATAGGTTCCTTAGAAAAAAAACTGATTGAAATTGTAAACAATGATAGTATAAAAATATTTAAGAAATGTGTATGGGAAAAGACTAAGAATATTATATCACCATACTTTTCCTTTAAATAAAATTTGCCCATCTAACTGACAGGGTTTGGCAAATTTTCAGAAAATTGTATTCGGATACAGATACAGATACTATATAAAATTTTGTATTTAAGATACAAGATACTAGATACTTTAGAAAAATTTCAATAAGATATAAGATACAAGATACTTGTATTTTTTAAAAAAAAAGTATCTAAGATACAAGATACTTTTTTAAAAAACTTTAAATAGTCAAAATCAAAATGTATAAAGCTTTATTTTCTTATCTATAATATAAATTTATAAAAAAATTTTTAAAATAAATTGTAGAAAATAACAAATTTACTATAAAAGATAATGCGATATTCCATTTAATAATTATATAATTAGTAAATAATAATAAATCAGCATTATTTTTTAAAATTATTAATTTTTCGTTCAATCTTTGACGATTTGGTCTATTAACTATATTAGCAAAGCTAAATAACCTTTCAACGGGGGCTGAGGAGGGTAATATTGTGCTATATTTAATAAATATTTCTTTTATATATTTATAACTATTTAACATATTTATACTCCGCCTGTCATCTTTCATATAATTTAGGACCTCCAATATCATTTATTGAATTATTAGAATTGGATGTGGTACTTTTAAGGCAAAAGTAATCATCATCTTCATCAATTGAAGATTTTGTTGAAGTATTAATTTCAATATTATTTTTAAAAACAATTAAAACTTCATGTAATAACAAATCCTGAAGGTATTTTTTTTCTTTTTCACCATTAATCCAACGATTTTTAAAATAGGGATGAGAAATAGTTGCCAAAAATGCACTTTTAAAATTGTTATCAAAATCATATATATTTTTAAATCTATTTAAATAATTTTCTATGGCAACAGCTAATGGTTTGCAAAATTGTAGATTGGTTTGAATTAAATTTGTATTTTTTTTTAACGACATTTAAAATTGGAGCTGATTCTCCATAATGGCAGTTGATTTCACTCTGTATTTTGCCAATCGCTATAGCCAACGGGGCCATTATATTGCAATATTCTTATAAATATTGAATTTCAATATCTCTTAATTTAGGAAATTCTAATTTTTGACATAATTTAGGAAGTTCGCCTTTAAATTTTAATAAACTATGAAGACTATCATAAAAACTATTCCATCTAGTGCAACAAGGTGTAACTAATTGTTTTCCTAAAACTGCTTTGATAATTTCTGCAGTTTTAGGCCTATTATTTGCATTCCATAGCTTAGTACATTTAGCTATTGCAGGATGATGAATTTTAGATATGTTAGGAGAATCCTTAATAGCTCTCTCGACATCTGTTGTGGCAATTAGACTTATCGTATGGCACAAACAACGAATGTGTTGAGGCAATGTTTTTGAGGCTTCTTTAAACCCTTAAATAAACAAATAAATAATTTTATTTGAATAAAATTTTTTACTAAATTTACAATATCATAATAAATTTTAAAGAAGTATTAAATAATACTTTCACTGATTTTGAATTCTATACATTCATCATCATTGATGTCAAAGTCATTCTCTACAGCTTCCATAGAATATCCAAACTCCTTGAAAGCTTTCTTAAGTTAGAGCCGTTATCTGTAACAGTTGCTATAACTTTTTCGTCAATACCAAAGTCACGATGAATTTATTTATTATGATCATCTTGAAGTACTTCAAAAAATTTGCCATTAAGTATGCTTAGTTTAAATTTATTGTTATAATTTTCGGTTGAAGAATCATCTGAAGACGAAGATAAACATATTATTCTATTTTCTTCTTCCATAATTTTAAAATAGACAGATATAAAACGATTCAAATATGGTAGTTCTAATTGTTAGCACTATATGACGACCAACGTCATATATCAAAAATTATCTTAAAATATCTAAATTTTAATTAAATTTTTCATTTAAATCTTAAAACAATATCATTTTAAATTTTAATACTATTTAAATTAATCAATATATATTTTTTTAAAGTATCTGTATCTTTTTAAATACAAAGTTGGTTAAGATACAAATACTTTTAAATAATATGTATCTTAGATACTGGTTACAAGATACTTTCCAAAATGTTAAAAAAGATACAAATATCCACGATACTGCCCAACCCTGCTCATTGATATAAGATTTTTTATACTAAAATTAATAGAGTCAAAGACCTGTAAGAAAACTAGCTATTTATGAAACTTATATATATATATATATCGAAAATGGTTAATTGCAATATATTGGTTACCTTGTTTTAATTCCTTATTCTCTCGCTTAAATTTATAAGGGTCATTTTGAAAGCCATTTTATCTTATTTGTCTTTTTAATTTTTTTTGTTAGTAGTTGAAGCGAACCCAAACCTAAAATAGGTATAGTATTTAAATGAAATATAGTTGAATAAAAATATTATCCGGTCAATTTTTCAAAATCACTCCAATTAGAAAAATAATATTATGTAAGTATCAAGATTTGGAAAATAGATATCTAAGCATTTCTGTCACCTATGTGCAAAATCTTTATCTTACTTAGTGTTATTTTGTTTATAATCTTAATCTCGTTTTATAAAATCGACTCGTTAGGTTTTTAACAACACTAATCCTTACTTCTTCTTATTTTTTATAAAAACTACTATTTTTTCAGTTATTAATTTATTTTTCCAACCTTATAATAAAAAGTATTCTGTAACTAATTTATTAATACAAGATAACTAATTGGAATTCGATGTTAATATTGAATTGAACTACTCGTCCTTTTATAACTTATATTTACGATCGTTGCAGGTAGTTCTCAGGATTCAAATAAACTTTAGCTTAATTTCGAATAACTAAATCACTTAAAAATAAAATATTAAAAATTCTATATACTCTATGTTTTATAAATAAAAAGGTACAGAACCCGCTCAAATACCTAAATAATATAATTTATAATCTTTTTTAACTTTAGACATTGCATGTACTTTAAGTATGATGGTATTTAACTAAATATATCTTTATTATTACAGTGAATTTAAAATATTCTTTTTTTAATTTATTTTTTAATGTCTAAAATATTTAGGTGATTTGTTAATACTGGTATTTCTGCCATATTTATTTAAAATGGGTGATCGAGCACAACTTTTTGTTGGTAGATTAAACAAGGATACTCGCGTTAAAGATTTAGAAGCTATATTTACTCCTTATGGACGTATGATTAGATGCGATATTAAATATGGTATAAATTTAATTCAAATTCAAAATATATAGCTTTATTTCATGTTAATTGATCAAGGTGTGGGTACAGGTAAATAATTATATTTAAATAGCTTGTCACATTAACTATTTAGCATATGCATTTGTCGATTATGATGACAAAAGAGATGCTGATGTAAGATTTTTTAAAAATATTGTTTTATGTTATTTCATCAAATTCTCTAATTATTTTAATTTATGGTAAAAATAACGCAGCAGAATTGCCAAGTGACATGCTAAGACATGCCTTGTGCCCTTATAATTCCTGCCTGACTCTTTGATAATCCGCTAAGACGCATTAAATATTTTTTTGCAATCCTCCTTTGTTCCGACCTATTTCCTTTTTTTCCTCATGTATATCCATATTATTTTATATAGATCTTAATATACACTTTACCCCTTTAATTAGGCTTTTTAACATAAAAATTAGTTGACTAATTTTTTATACTTAAATTTATTTTAATTCAAGGATGCTGTAAGATATGAAAATGGTCGTACTATATTAGGGAACAGAATAGTTGTGGAGTTTGCTAAAGGAAAATCATACAGGCCAAATATGCAACAGCGACAATCAGTAAAAGTATGTTAACAAATTTATTGCCTAATGTAAATATTAGGGTGTTGATGAATGTTATAAATGCCATAGATCAGGTCATTGGGCCAGGGATTGTCCAGATTACAAAGATGATCGATATAACCGAGGAGGTGGTGGAGGAGGAAGAGATAGACGCCGAAGATCATATTCAAGATCAGTTTCTAGACATAGAAGTGATAGAGACAGAGATAGAAGGTAAATTATTATAATTTTTTTTTATTATGAAACAATTTTAAAAATTTGCCTATAAAAATTAATTATATTTTAATATCAAGAAAATGTTATATGATAATTTCATTTTTAACTATTTTATAAAAAATTCTAAATTTATTACCAAACCTATTCATATTTTTAAAATTATTTTAGAGGTGGAGGTGGTGATAAATACAGCAAGCGTGATAGCCGCAGTCACAGTCGTGACAAGAAACGCAGTAGTCGACGTGATAGAAGAAGCAGAAGCAGTCGCTCAGATGATTATCATTCAAACAATAAGCGCAAAAACCATGGCTCAACAAAGAGAAGCACTTCACGTGACCGTCATTCATCAAAACACTCATCCCATAGTAAAAGTGTCACCAAAGGTTAAAAAAATATTTATATTAAAATATGTTGTAAAGTTGATAAAATATCAGGGACCTTCTGCAGAGGTATCATTTACATGGCAAATTGTGGACTCTTTTAATGTATGCTTATAAAAATTAAAAAATGGGTCTGACTGAGACTTCAGGTCTCTGTAAAATATAATTTATCATTGTCAAGAACTACATACCCTTATAATTTTTTTAAACCCTAACTAGGACTTTTTTTAGGAAGGAACAAATTATTTAAATTCATGGAAAATAAATTTAATTTTTTTATAAAATCTTTATCTTTGTGAATTTTATACTTCCATTTTATATAATGGGTGGTTAATTAGAATAAATTTAATTTTTTATAATATCTTGATTTTTGTGACTTTTATACTTCCATTATATATTATTGAGTGATCAAATAAAACATTTAAATTAGACTCATTTTTTACTTGTAAATTATGTTAGTGTATTTATATTAGTGATCTGCACCTGGCATAATTTTTCAGGCCTGTCATGAAATTTTATAAAATGTATTCTTTCCTGAAAAGTCTGACCTAAAATAAAATATTTATCTACCTGGTCTGAATTTATTTAAATTAGAAAATTTTATTTTTATTTATTGTAAAAATATATTACCAGTTTTTTCTTGTAATAATTTTAAAATATCACAATTTATTTGACAAAATATAATATATTTATAAATTTAAGCTTGGCCCAAATTTTTTTAAATATATTAGCCTGAATTAGAGACCTTCATGGGCCAAGCTGGGTATGGGCCTAATATATTATCTAGTTTATCTGAGCAAGCCTGGGTTTTAAAAACTTTTTTTTAATGGGCTTGGGCCTAAAATTTTTAAATTTAGATTATTTAAAACAGTTGCTAATTTAATGAAATATTGCCTTTTTTCATCTAATAATAATAAATTTAAGTATTGTAAACAAAATGAATGCCTAAATATATTTAAATATTGTTAATTTTCATTAAATAAAAAAAAATTAAATTTTTGCTTAACATTAAATATGGGCTGGCTGAGCCTGATCCAGCCCAAGCTGAAATTATTTTTAGAAGATAGACCTCCCAGGTAGGAGTTGGTCTGTGATTTGCAGATCTCTAATTTATGTTGTTTCAAACCTGGATCCTGGACTCAGACCATTTTTAAAATTCTATTCCTAAACTATGACTTGGGCCCTTTTTTGTTGAAGAGTTCACATCCCTGATATTTATTAAAAATACAAACACTTTTCTTATAATATAAATATTATAAAATTTTTAATAATCTTATATGGAATATTTCTTTAAAATGAAACAAAGGTTCTTCACCTACTAAGATAGCCAGCAGAAGCAGAAGTAGATCTATCCCAACTAGATCGCCAAGAAGTAGAAGTAAAGACATGGATACTGATCATAAAAACAATGATTACAAAGCAAGTAATGGAAGAGATGATGACGATGAGGACAAGGAAAGTAGAAGGGAGAAAGAAGGATCAACGCCCATAACTGCTAGATCTAAAAGCAAATCAAAATCCAGGTCTAAGTCTAGAAGTCAAAGATCTGAGAGTCCCTCTAGATCCACATCCCGTAAATCTTCTAGGGGTAGATCAGGTTCTAGAAGTCAAGAAAGAGAAACTGCACCTCTTGAGAATGAAAATGGTGATGATAGTAGTAGGAATGAGGAAGAAGATGAGTCTATGAGGGATTAAAATTTTTTAGCCTTATAAAATCGAAATGATAAACTTAATGTTTTTATATTTCATGATGTTACTATACACTGTCTTGTGAAAATATTGATAATGATTTATAACATTATCTTAACCTTGATATGAATATTGTAAATATTTTTTGATATAACCATACCTTATATTTTGACATTTTTTTAAATTCAAATCATAAATAGTTGCAATTGTAAATACAGAATATTATACATAATGTTAAAGATTAAGCTTTAATACAATATACCATCATATTTGCCAATAAAAAACGGACAATAAAAACAATATTTAAAAAGTTATTATTAATTCTTATCTTTAAAACTTTAATTTTTTTATAAACACCCAAAATTTGGCCAGAAATATATAGCTAAATAATTTTAGTGTCTAACCTGTATTTTGGATTAAAGTTGATTTTGAAACGGTCCAATTATGATTTTAAAATAATTATAGTAAAGGTATTTTTTTTCATATAGTGGAGGTGTCTTTCAAAGGTGTGACTGATGTCTCAACACCTGTAGGAATTTTCCTATTCTTTAATAATAGAATAATTAAATTCTTTTTTCTAATTTATATTGAAAGATAATTAATTTATTCAATTAAAGTTAATGCTGTTGCATAGCATATTTGTAAAAATAGTTACTTTTTTTAAGTATTGGAACCTTCATGAAAAACGGTTTGCATCTTTAGTGTCTTGGTTGTTGTAAAAATAGTTTATTTTTTTTAAGTATTGGAACCTTCATGAAAAACGGTTTGCATCTTTAGTGTCTTGGTTGTTTGTCAGATTCAAATTTAGTTTGCTACTAAACAAAGAAAAGATCATAAATTTTTTTGATCAAATTTGAAATGGGAACTACTTTTGAAAATTAAGTGTTACTGTGTTCTTAAATTAAAGATTATATTTTACAAAAAATATATAAAAGATAATAGGGGAGAAAAAAATGATATTCTTCAAGAAACACTAGTTTGATTTTTTTTGCAGAGTACATTTACTTAAAAATAGGATACTTGCTCTTTAATTTAAGTAGTCAATTTTTTTAAATCCCAATAAAAAAAGTGAAGATTAGAATTATAAAGTATATGATTACCATAAATAGGATCATGTAAATTAAAAAAACTTATCCTGTCCAAATACACAGAATAGGAATATATAATGATTTGAGATTATAATATAATTTAAAGTATTGTATTTTGCAAACAAATAAGTTTTTCTAAATTTTATTAAATATATCAGATACCTGCAGAGGTACCATTTGCATGACCAGGTTATGATTTTTAGAAAATATATTTTATTTAATTTTTAGTTAATAATGGCAACTTAAAATATATGACCTACTTGGCTTGGGTAAAAAAAATCTTTGGGCCTAGGTGTAAATATATCCCAGGACTACAGGTATTCTGAAAGAAATATATATTTGGACAAAAAAATTATAGTGGAGGGATATAAAATGTAATTAATTTTTATCAGCAATCATTCAAGGGTTCATTAAAACTATTTTAATTGCACAAATTTAAAATAATTCTTATTTTATGTTTTACAAAGAAAATATATATCATTGAATATAATAGACCCTATATGTTTGTTTCTCTAATATTTCAAAGTATATTCTAATATAATGTATATTATATAAAAACAATTCCTAACTTATTGTGTTTAAAAAAAAATCAAATAAGTACTTGTGCAACATTATACCAAATATCTATAGCCATATAAAACTTTTAATAATTAAATAAGTCAAATAAAAGGGGCATGACTAAAATACGCGTCCCTGGTCAAACGGGTTTAATTTATATAATATTAATAAAAAATCTTATTTAGCTTTATAAGATGAGTTAAAAAATGTTTTATATGATTTAAAAAAAATGATAACTTAGTAAATTTTTTAAAAAATTATTTTTTTACATCACAAAAAACTACGCGTCCCCGGTCAAGATACATATTTTTTAAAAAAATAAAAGCAGATTCATATTTAGCTCATTAAATGAATATAGAAAATGTTTTTTATGATTTAAAAAAAATGATAACTTAGTAAAATTTTTAAAATATTAATTTTTTACATAAAAACATTACGCGTCCCCGGTCAACATTTTAAAAAAAAAATAAAAGCAGATTCATATTTAGCTCATTAAATGGATACAAAAAAAAGTGGTAACTTAGTAAAATTTTGAAAAAACACTTTTTGACTAAAATACGCGTCCCCGGTCAAGATAGATTATTTTTAATGAATCTAGAATCGTGTATTGTTTTTCAAGGAGATTCCAAAAATGGTATTTATAATTTTTTTTTTTAAATTTATTTTTCGAAAATTTTTTTTGACTAAACTACCGATCAAGATACATTTTTTTTTAAAAAATAAAAGCAGATTCATATTTAGCTCATTAAATGGATACAGAAAATGTTTTTTTTATTTAAAAAAAAAGTGGTAACTTAGTAAAATTTTGAAAAAACACTTCTTTATTTTTCATTTTTTGACTAAAATACGCGTCTCTACGCGTCCCCGGTCAAGATAGATTATTTTTATAAAAATGAATATAGAATCGTGTATAGTTTTTTAAGGAGATTCCGAAAATGGTATTGACCGGGGACGCGTATTTTAGTCAAAAAAAAGTGTTTTTTCAAAATTTTACTAAATTACCACTTTTTTTTAAATAAAAAAAAACATTTTCTGTATCCATCCATTTAATGAGCTAAATATGAATCTGCTTTTATTTTTTTAAAAAAATGTATCTTGACTGGGGACGCGTAATGTTTTTATGTAAAAAATTAAACCTTTGTTCCTTCTACAAACAAAATTTTCAGGCTTGAGTTAAATTATTCTGGATGAAATAGTGAGTTAGCCGTTTTTAAAAATCGGCTCAAAACGAGCCGTTTAACAACACTATCTGCAGTCTATATAAAACTTTTGACCTACTTCCAAATTATAAAAAAAAAATCAGAGACCTGCAGGCCTGGCCCAATACCATGTCTAAAATTTTTTTGGGCCATATATTTTAAAACTGAATATTTAAAATTGCAAAATTTAAAATAGAATGTAATATATTTTAAAAAAATCCAGGTCAGAAAATATAAAACTTGGATCAAGCCATAAAAAAATTTGGACTTAGCTGACCAAAAATAAATGGTACCTTTGCAGGTCTCTGATAAATAAATAAATAGAATTAGGAAGCACATCTTGTTTATATATATATTACGCTTTTTATCAAATGATTGAATTGAAAAAATGTCTTGGGTAGTATTGTTAAAAAGCCTGATTTAGATCTATTTTTAAAAATAGGCCAATTAAATATTAGCCAATAATATTATGCAAGCCTGGAGATTTGGCTTAGAGTTGGCAAAAAGATTTGGACTTCTATTTGCCAATTTTCAAGACTCATATAATTCTATATTGACTAAAATCTTAATCAGGCCATTTTTAAAATCAACCCAAATCAGGATTTTTAACAATATTAATTTAAAGAATAAAATTATTATAGACCCTTGGTAATTTTATGAACCACCTTATCTAATCCAATACATTACTATTTCTTTTATATATTTCTAAATATAAAATATCTGACTTTATTAGTTATGGTATAAAATATAATCTATGAATGTATATAGAAGTGCAATAATCAGATTTGTATAAATTTTAATATTAGACATATAGGTATAAACTTTAAATTATATACATTTAATTATAAGCACTATTCTAAAATAAATTTATTATCTAAAAATGTTTCAATTAAATTATATACATCTAATTGTAAGAGCTATTCTGTAATAGGTTTATCATCATCTAAAAATGTTTCTTGTCTAACAGAAAAAATTGTTCTAAAATCTAAATAATGCAATTAATATAATTTTAAAAAATATAATCAACATATTGCAACTGCAGATACACCCAAGGTAATTCCCATCACATTAGCTTTAAAAGTTTTCTTTTTTTTCTGAGATAAATTTTTTTTCATTTCATTTTCAACCCATTCCATATAATATTTTTCAGTCTTATTCAGAGTGCCTTTGATGAGGTCGTTGCACAATATTTTATGAAAATGCATGTCACTGGTTAAAAAAAAGAGGGTATAGTCTCATAGTGTCGAACTGTGTATAGGATTTTACGTTTTGTAGCTTTACGAAAAGGTGAAAAAAGATGGCAATCAATTACCATAAACACGTGATTTTTTGTAATAGGAATATAAGCTTCTAACTGAAACTGTTTCAAATGACAATGCCTAATCATTTCAAAATGCATAACTATAATAGTAAAGAATTTCTTTTGAATATCTATAGTTTTAAAGTGTTGTTAAATGATTTTTTTTCGACCCAGAACCTGAGTCGAGTCGTAAAAATATGTCCAACCATGCAAGGGTCGAAAAATTGACCCCGACCCAACCCAAACTATTGGGCTTGTTGAGCCGATCCATCGGGTTGGCATGTTGGGTCTATTCGCTGGGTCAATAAAATATATAGAAAATTATACTAGTTTGTCTTAATCCAGCTTAAGAGTTTTTGATATTAGAAAAATGTTTTAAATTCTTTGGTTCTAGTCAATGATATATAATAATACCTAGACTGACGATTCATTCATTAAAATGCCTTTTTAAGCACGTATAAATGCAAATCAGCTGGAGACGCCATAAACACCATATTTTTTACATCGATGATAATTTGCTCAATAGCATATTTGAATTTGTTAAGTAAATATTTTAATCAATATACTATGGTTATATTAATATGAATTATTTATAGTTAATTTTTATTACCATGATCTGTTAAATTTTATATTTAATTTGCTACTTATTTAATTTTATTAATCAAACATTTTATTTTATCAAAAGCATTATTTTTATTTTCTAAATTATTAATATCTACAATTATTGCGATAATATAGTCATATATTATAAAATAAGTTTAAGCTTTTTGCTTATAATGTGCAGGTAAGCATCAGCAATTTTTATTCAAGTTAGCAATCTTATTATTTACTGTGTGCAATTATATACCTATAGAGAAGATTATATAAGAATATTCATATTATAAGTCAATCTAGGGCTTAGGTAAATATCAATTTTATAACTCAAGATTTAGAAATTGTTTTATTTTGAAGGTTGTTTTTTAAAAATATATAAAAATTGTATAATGCTTAGCTCAAAAGTTATAAAAATTTAAATCTGATTATTGTTAATTAACTATATTATTTTTAAATTTAGTATTCTATTTACATAGCTCTTAAAATAGAAATAAATGTACATATTGTAATATATTTATACAGTATTTATACTGTATAAATATATTTAGCTCTAAATTTTCAAATATCTAAAAATGTCCAGGCTGACATAAAAATTTTATGAAATGGTTACCCAAGTTTATAATTTTATAGTAAATAAGGAATAAAATTATATAAAATAAAATTATATTTTTTTTGATAATTATCATTCATCATATCATATAATAATAGTTTATTTATATATATTATTTTTATTTTTTTATTTAACATTATATAAGAAAATAAATATAACTATAAAAAAATAATAATATATTTATACTTTATCTATCTGTCTAGTCTACCCATATATATTTATCTAATTGGCCAGCCCTACCTTTATTTGATAAAATTCAATTACATATAATATATATGTCATTGGATAAAATTAAAATAATCCTTAATTGTCTATATCTTCAATTAATAATTATCGTTTTTTATTTTACTTCATGCAAGAATACAAGCTTAACTTCTAATAAAAAAATTTCTTTTCATAGGTTATATATTTTAATTTATTATTTTATAAGATTCTTTTCTTAATTTAAGACATTAATATTATTATTTTTAAGATTCCCTATCAAGAATGAAATTTTAATATCAAAATGGCTAAAGGCAATGAATAAGGAAAATTTCACTCCTACTAAGTTTTTAAAGCTTTGTGGAGCCCATTTCAAACCTGAATGTTTTATGCCCTCACATTCATGGAATGCTATTAGGATCTGTACCATCCATTTTTAATTCCAGACCCCTTCAGGATGTATAAATATTGAATATATATTTATTTTAAATATATTTTTTTAAGATAACAAATATTCCATCGAATACAAATAATACTCCTACAAATTTTAACTAATGCTACTAATATTTACTCTATGCAGATAAACATAACAAAAATTCAAATATCAATTTTTGGCAGAAGTTGAAGAAAACCATTCTATTCGCAGGACAATAAATATATTGGCACATGATCTTTTTTAATTTATATTATGACTGTATATATTTAAATATGGATGCTATATATTAATGAATTTTGTAATTTATTGTACATTATATCTATTTCTAATTTATAATAAAATATGGATGCTATATTAATGAATTTCGTAATTTATGGTACATTATATCTATTTTCTAATTTATAATAAACTATTTCTTGTAATGATACAACATTTAATCTTATTAGTTAGTATCTTGAAAAATTATTGATTTTCATCATATAATTAATATGTCCATTCTTCTAAAAATAAAGAGATAAGAGTAAGCTAAATTGATCTAAAATAAAGGTCATTTTTTATAAATGAGGTCTTAAAATATTTTATTTTTATTAATCTTTATTTTATCTGTTTGAAAAAAAAATATATTAATGATACTTGTTTTTTTGATAAAATAAACTGGATAATATAATGTAAGGAAGAACAAGTTGTATGCGATATATCTCTTGTTTGCAATACAGAATTTATCCTAAGAAATATAGTAAATCAATAATAAACATAAAAAATTGAATATTACAAAAAGGAATGATAAATTATTAAAAATAATAAATAAAATAAAACTAATTGGAAAAAATAAATATGAAGAGATCAAGATTTTACATGGGTAAGGATATCCTAATAAAAGTAAAAATGGTTTAAATTTTCTCCATAACTGCGATATGGTTGCTAAATGTTAAATAGTTAATAAGATTCAATTTAACTCCTTAAAATATTAAATTCATAAGTATTTCATTTCTTTAATAATAATAAATATTATGAATAATATAAAAATCCTTTTGAATTGGACTTTAAGAAGATTAAACAAAACACTATAATACTTTAATAAATACTGCATATTTATTTATAATATGTAAAAAAAAATGTTATATTATTAAGAATGTATCTGAAGCTAAGCATTTATTTTTATATTATAAATTTTATCATCGATGTAACCAACATGGCGTCAATGGCGTCTCCAGCTGATTTGCATTCATACGTACTTTTATGAATGAATCGTCAGTCTAGGTATTATTATATGTCATAGAACTTCATGCATATAAGCAAGCAAACTCCCTTCTCATCTCGATTCACTAAGTCCAAGATTTTTTACTAATTTACGTAACATCTATAAAATTAGTGAATATTGGCCACCACCATTTTCCCCTTTATTTTTATTCTGTATGCAAATATTAGGTTATCACACAGATCGACTCCACTCAGGGGCGTCGCTAGCCTTTAAAATCTCAGGGGGCTCAACTAAAAAATTTATATGGGGGCTTCGCTCCTTATACCTTCAATTTGCAGGCCTTCCGCCCACTTTGACCCGGCCGTCGCGGGTTTTATATTAATATATTATACTTTTTTTAAATTTGCCAACTCTAAACAATTATTCTGAATTTCATATTTTATCATTTATTATATTTTGCATACAAAATAAACTAACATATAAATAATTAAAACAATACAAAATAAACTAACTTATAAATAATTAAAACAATACAAAATAAACTAACATATAAATAATTAAAACAATACAAAATAAACTAACATATAAATAATTAAAACAATACAAAATAAACTAACATATAAATAATTAAAACAAAGACATATCTAAAAATAATATTTTTTAATACAAAATCTATTTATTACAGTATAAAATATTTTCTATGGTTGATATAAAAAAAATTTGCGTCTAAAAAATTACAAATGATAAAAAAGGTTAATTAATTCATACATATGCCTCAATTGATAATGGTTTTTAAAAACCACATAAGGCTATATAATTCTTAGTAACTTACATTGACAAAAGGTCATGAAACTAATCTAACTCTCTGTTACCATTTTAGACAATGTTTTATAATAAAATAATAAGAAATAGGCCTTACCAAATTAACAATTCTTGAAGATATAAAAGACCAATCCAAATCATAAAACTATATGATCGTTAGAGCTCCATCTTATATGACATGATGGAAGCTAGATAAGTAATCGATAAAATTATTGTGAGATATTAAATTTCTAAAAGATTATCTTCCATTATTTTTAATCATATATAAACGACTACACAGTTGACCATTATTGCATATCTAAAATATGCAGTCATATGCGCTCAGCAGCTGTAGTAATAATCTTAAACACACAAATAATAAATGCTGGTTAATTTACAGTCATAGCCATTACACTCACGATGGTCCATATCAGAATTTATTATGTTAGAATTGATGAATCAAAAACACTAAAAATCATTAGAAGAAATTATGCAAATATATTGAACCCTTGAGTTATTTACACGGCAAGAATGACATATTAGAAATGAAACATTTTGTATATAAAATAAAAACCCGAGTGATATCATGAAAGCAATTAAAATTTTTTATATTATTGTTGCACCAGTTGGTATATTATATCTTAAAATAATAGTAGTTTGTAATAATATCTAAAATATATTCGTATTAAAAATTTAACTCAAAACTGTTTTTCCAAAAAGAAAAAAATAGCTTTCACGTAAAAAAAGAGAAGAAAAGATATCTAATTTATTTCATCCATTGTGGGATGAATAATAAGATGTTTAATTATAATAATATTTTAAATAAATAGATGGCGTTAAATAGTTGAATGCAAATTGTTACTTATATTTATTATTAAAAGCATTGATTAGTATAATTTTAAAAATATTAACTGTAATATATTATATAACTGTCAAATACGTCTGCAAAAGTGACATTTTACCTAATATTTTATAAATAATTATATATAATAGAGGATTATAAACTATATGTATACTTATTTTTTATAAATAAATCTCTTATATTTATTTGGATTTGGACCTTGAAAATAATTTTAGAAAGAGACATGATAATTAAATAAAAAAATCAATAATATAGTTGATTAGTGATGTTAAACTCGACTAATTACAACTCAATTTGTTAATTTTCAATTAATAAATGATTATATTAATTTAATTAGGATTAATAATTTAAATAATAAAAGTCAATTAAGATTCAACTGTTAATGCTAAATTAATATTAAGTGAGTGATATTGATATATTTTTAACACAGAATTTGATCGCAAGCTGACATAGTGAAAATATAATTTATATGTATTAATATAATCTAATAATTAAAATAGCATTCATTTAATATAAATTTAGATAGTCTTATTAATTTTTAATTAATAAAATTAAATCTATATATTACTCAATGGAATTATAAAAAAAATTTTTAGGGAGCAATTAAAAAAATTTATTTTTAGTTCAAGGGGGATATTAAAGAGTCATTAAAAAAAATTTTGCTTCAGGGGGCTATTCAAATTTTTAGGGGGCTTGAGCCCTTGCGCGCCCCCTCCTAGCGACGCCACTGACTCCATTTATATGTTTTATAAGCCTTAAAAATAATAGGCTTAGAATTTTTATTTTAAAAGATAATTAAGATCTTTTTTAAATTTAATGCATATTCAGTAGAATACACGTTTCAAAATTATCTAAAAAAGCGCGGCAAAAATCAAAAATATTTTAAAGTTTTAGTTAACCATTGAGGTATGGAAGAGCTTTGTTTACTTAAATTTGTCCCAGTACTACAGAGTTATTATTTCTTCAATGAATAATATTTAGCATTACCTACGATTGTAAAAGGCTTCTGTAAGAATGCAGAATTTAGAATATAAGATGCTGTGTATGTACCACTAGATTGGTAATACATGAACTAAATGCATTTAAAAGTACATACTTAGGGATCAGCTATAACAACATTTTATGTGTTGTGGCAGATCCGATTCTAGCTTCACTATACTGGAGGGGGGGGGGGTTAAGACAAAAATTTTGTGGAAAACAGTTAAAAATAAAAATTTCCCAACACCATACAACTAATATTTAATTATTTGAACATAAAATGTAATATATCATTTTATTTGAAAAATACCACATATAAAAATATACAATGATTAAATATGTTTATTAAGTTAAAGGAAGATAAGAATTGACTTATAGCTGGAAAAGTTAATTTAATGATTTTACAAATATTATATAATAACAGTAATATAGTTTATATGATTGAATCCTTGTTAGGGATTCAATTATAAAATATATAATTTAGAAATTATTTATAACTATGTTACAATTGGCATCACGTCAATGATTGAGAAGTGTAAAACTAACAAAAATAAAACATTAACAATATAATTTTGGTTAAGATGCAGTAGCGTCATTGAGAGAAGGAGGATAGATCCCCCTCAAAATTTTGATTTTTTTTATACCACTAAAAAAAGGTAAGTTAGCTTTTAAGAGAGGCAATTTTAGCTAATATTTTAGATAATGTTAGCTTAAAAAAAGTAATTTTAAAAATAATTAAAAAAGATTTTTTGAGCCCCCTGAGATTGTAAAGGCTAGAGACGCCCCTGTTCAGGCATATTTTAAAATACCTTGAAAATATTTCCATAATTAATCGCTTATGTTTTTCCAATATCCTAATAAAAACAAGTGACCCTTTCTTATATCACTACTCGAGCTTTTATTGATTTAATCATTCTCATTAATGGTAGAAAGTTGACTCAAAGCTCAATTGAATAAACTAAACTAATAGAGAATATTTTGAAAACATTTGAAAATGTATTTTTCCCAAATTTTTTTGAAAAATATTTGGGCTGGGCTGTATATGAAAACGAATACGTTAAATCGCCATTATTAGCTATAAAAATTAAAAATAAATGTAATATATTTAAAAAATCCGGGACCGAAAATATAAAACCCGAGTCGAACCGAAAAAAGTTTCTATAAAAAATACCCGGATCGGGCCGTGCAAATGGATGACCTCTGCAGGTCTCTCATTTAAATAAAATATTTACCAATATTTACCTACGCTTTAGAATTAGTGCTTTCTAAAGCTTGGCAGACTTCACGCTTATTAGGACTGCGTCTTAATAGGATTCAGATATATAGCAAATTTTTGAAAATATGACTTGATCCAAAATATAATGAGTCACAATTTTACTTCTATTTCTATTAAATGAACCGAAGAGAACAAATAATATCTATAAAGATCATAGAAGCATAAAATTCAAAAATATTTTGAATCGAGGAAAAATAAAACTTTAATTTTAATTTTTGAATCGTACTTTGAAATCCGATATTTACTCAGCCTAAGG